GAACAACGGTGACTTGGGAGAACAAACATGGTGACGATCAAACCGGTGACGAACAGTGACGAAACAACGGTGACGAACAACTGGTGACGAACAACCGGTGACGAACAAATGGTGACGACAACTACGACAACCGGGACGAACATGGTGCGAACAACCGGTGACGAACAATGGTGACGAACAAACCGGTGACGAAAACCGGTGACGAACAACTGGTGACGAACAAATGGTGCGAACAAACTGGTGACGAACAATGGTGACGAACAACTGACGAACAACTGGTGACGAACAACTGGTGACGAATGGTGACGAACAACGACAACGTGACGAACAACGGTGACGTGACGAACAAACCGGTGACGAACAACTGTGTGGTGACGAACAACCGGTGACGAACAACCGGTGACGAACAACTGGTGACGAACAACCACGAACGGTGAAACAACGAACAACTGGTGACGACAACTGGTGACGAACAAACAACTGGTGACGAACAACTGGTGACGAAACAACCGGTGACGAACAACAACTGGTGACGAACAACGGTGACGAACAACCGGTGACGAACAACGGTGACGAACAACTGGTGACGAACAACTTGGTGACGAACAACTGGTGACGACCAAAACTGGTGACGAACACCGGTGACGAACAACCGGTGACGAACAAAAACAACTGGGTGACGAACAACGAACAACGGTGACGAACAACCGGTGACGAAACAAACCACAACGAACAACTGGTGACGAACAACCGGTGACGGAAACCGGTGACGAACAAACTGGTGACGAACAACCGGTGACGAACAACGGTAAACAACCTGGTGAACCGGACGACAACCGTGACGAACAACTGGTGACGAACAAACCGGTGACGAAACTGACTGTGTGACGAACAACTGGTGACGAACAACCGGTAACGAACAACGAACGAACAAACTGGTGACGAAAATGGTGACGAACAACCGGTAACGAACAACAACAACAACCGGTGACCACTGGTGACGAACAACGGTGACGAACAACAACGGTGACGAACAAAACCGGTGACGAACAACCGGTGACGAACAACTGGTGACGAACAACTGGTGACGAAACAACGCGTGACGAACAACTGGGTGACGAACAACCGGTGACGAACAACGGTGACGAACAACCGGTAACGAACAAACTGGTGACGAACAACCGGTGACGAACAAACTGGTGACGAACAACCGGTGGACGAACAAACTGGTGACGAAACACAACGGTGACGAACAACTGGTGACGAACAAACGGTGACGAAAACTGGTGACGAACAACCGGTTGGACGAACAACCGAACAAACAATGGTGACGAACACCGGTGAAACGAAACAACGAACAACCGGTGACGAACAACCGGTGACGAACAACGGTGACCAACACGAACAAAGAACAAACCGGTGACGACAACTGGTGAACGAACAACCGGTGACGAACAACTGGGTGACGAAACAACCGGTGACGAACAACCGGTGACGAACAACTGGTGACGAACAAGGTGACGACAACTGGACGAACAACAGGTGACGACGGTGACGAACAACTGGTGACGAACAACGGTGACGAAACAACGGTGACGAACAACGTGTGACGAACAACCGGGACGAACAACAACTGGTGACGAACAACCGGTGACGAACAACTGGTGACGAACAACCGGTGACAAAACTGGTGACGAACAACGGTGACGAACAACCGGTGAACGAACAACCGGTGACGAACAACCGGTTGACGAACAACGGTGACGAAACGGTGACGAACAACTGGTGACGAACAAAACCGTTGACGTGGTGACGAACAAACTGGTGACGAACAACGGTGACGAACAACCGTGTGACAACAAACGAACAACTTGGTGACGAACAACTGGTGACGAACAAACTGGTGGACGAACAACTGGTGACGAAAACCGGTGACGAACAAACTGGTGACGAACAACGAACAACTGGTGCGAACAAACGAAACAACGTGACGAACAACGGTGACGAACAACAACTGACGAACAACCGGTGACGAACAACCGGTGACGACAACTGGTGACGAACAAACGGTGCGAACAACGTGAACACCAACGGTGACGAACAACCGGTGACGAACAACTGGTGACGACAACCGTGTGACGAACAAACTGACGAACACCGTGACGAACAACCGGTGAACGAACGGTGACGAACAACCGTGACGAACAACTGCGTGACGAACAACCGGTGACGAACAACCGGTGACGAACAATGACGAACAACCTGGTGAACGAAACAACTGGTGAGACGAACAACTGTGACGAACAACTGGTGACGACAACCGGTGACGAACAACCGGTGACGAACAACTGTGTGGACGAACAACCGGTGACGAACAACTGGTGACGAACAAGGTGACGAACAACCGTGACGAACAACTGGTGACAAAAACAACTGGACGAACAACTGTGTGACGAACAACGGTGACGAACAACTGGTGACGAACAACTTGTGTGAACGA